GGCTGAGAGGTTCGCATCAAGATCTGCCTTGCGAGGTATCTCTTGGTGAACTTCAGACATCTTGCAAAAGACGCTATCGATGATCGGGAGAAGAAGCTTGACATCAGACGCCATGTCATAATCTTTGTCATCTTCGTCGTCTTCTTCCTTCTCTTCCCCGTCTTCTTCCTTCTCTTCAACATCCATAAGTTGGGGCGCAGAAGAAGGACCTGCAAGAGATGGAGAGTGAGCATATAAAAGCTCAGGGTTAGAAGAACTGAAGGGATAGGAAGATGGAATACTTGAGGTCTCAACTGAAACCTGTCGAGAGGTCTCAGCCAGAGGTGTGGCAATCCCCTTTTTGGCCTTCTTGGCACTCTGAGGAGAACCAAGAGTTGGTTGTGAAGGAAGTTTTTGGAGGAGGTTTTGGTGGCTGGGCTAGACATTGGGGGTTTTCCCTTGTCTTGACCACCTAAGGAGAAGATGGAGAGAACGACACTAGAGAAGAGAGTGCAATGTCTCCATCCCTCAGCTTGTGATCTAGAATACTGGATCCAAGCCTACACACCTGGAGGTTTCCTTCCTTGGAATATTTTTCTGCAAATATTTTTGCAAAAACCATGGACAGGAACCTGGTGTATGGTACCACCTTTTCTCGCTGGCGCTTGTTCAGCTTTTGCACCAGGTCATCGAAAATAACCGCAACATAATTATATTGCGACGCTGAATCGCAAATATGCCGATCATCAAGGCTACCCTGGAGGCATGGTCTTGTCTTCCAGTCTTTCCACCCATAGACTGGATGAAATGAGAAAAAAGGTTTTGTCAAATCGCTGACATCCTGTTTTTCTCAAACTTCGACAAGGACTTCATGGGAGCATTTGAGTCCTTCTTCATTTTCCATCGATAGCCAATGGCATTGAGACATTGAATGATCTCAGCAGTGGAGGGCTCACTGTCAAAGGGGCCCTTGGGGAGGCGAAGAGCAGTCCTCACGGTGTTGACTCCGAATTTCACAGTCATGCGGTTGAACGTGAAGGTAATCTGCTGAACTTGGCGGCCATTCTTGTCTTCAAGATCCACCACTTCAGCAGTAAACCAGAACTGCTGGAGAGCCTCTTTAACCATGACAGGCTCATGGTTAAGAGCAAAGGCAAGCAACGACTGTTTCAGGAAGTCGACCACTTCCTTGTAGAATGCTTTGTTCAAAGGGATGTCTAACAAGGCAACATGATTGTAGGCCTTGAAATACACTTCATCAATCATAAAACCTACATTCTTGGCAGCCATTTATTTTCAGTAAGAAAAAACAAGATAAAACAGTGTTAGATAAACCAAGATTTGTGTATAGATTTAAGTTTTTGAACAAGAAAAACTTCTTTTGAAAAATCCTTGAAAAAGGATTAGGGTTTTTCAAGTAGAGTGTTTTTGAAGAAATGTGATTACAACCAAGAAAAAGGTTGAGTTGATAATCATTAATGTTTGTTGTTTAAGAGAACAAAGTTCCAAAAACATTAAACACATTTCTCATAAAAGAAGAGAACAAGAAAATAAGAAGTATATCCACCTTAGTTGTTTTGAGAAGAAAAGGTCGTAGAAGAAATTTGAAGAATGTTCTTGCTTTGCAAATCAGCAGAGGTTCGTCTTTGATTTTTGAAAGCGTAAAGAGAAAAGTGAGAGAGAAATCTTATATTTATAGGTAGGAGGGGAGAGAATGGATAGGAGAGAGAAAAAGACGACGGGTGAGGAAATGGGCCATGATGAAAAAGATGGCACGTTCTTATCCATAATTGGATGGCATTAAATGAGGTAGCGTATGACAGTGCTTTTTGCGCATCTCAAAGCGTTGCGCATTGCAAATAGGGAATGTCGTTATAAAGACGGTTCATTAACTATTTCTTTTAAAATCGAAAGGTTTTTAAGAAAATGAAGAGTCATTTAGTGTTGAAAGACACACTGAAAAGACCTTTAAAAACATTATGATCACTAAAGAGGGAAAAACTTCAGTGATAGTTTTAAGACTTCAGTGTTAGTGATAAGAGAATCACTGAACCTGACGTTTAAAAACATATGAATCACTGAATAGGAAAGATTCAGTGATCATTTTGATTTTTAAGAAAATATAAGTATAAAGGAGATATACTTACATAAAAATGTTCAACAAGTGAAAGAATTATTGAACAAACTTTTAAAACGTTTTGATCACTGAAAGCTTCAGTGATAGTTTTAAGTTTTTTTTTAAGAAAAGGAATAAGTAAACATACCTTAGAGAGAATAGATACATTTACTCAAGAGTTCAGTGACAAAGATAGAGCACTTAATCACTTCACTTACTGATAGATGTTAATAGCTGAACATTATTCTTCAGCATTTAGCATTCCCAGTTCGTTGATCAAGATGTTAAATCTTATCTCATCAAGAGACTTTGTAAAAAGGTCAGCAAGCTGGTAATCAGTTAGAATAAAGTGAAATTCAATGTCACCATTCATAACATGATCTCTGATAAAATGATATTGCATCTCTATATGTTTGGTCTTAGACTGAAGTACAGGGTTATTTGCAATGGCAATAACACAACTGCTATCACAATAGATAGGAACTTTTGAAAACTAAAGATCATAGTCCATCAGCTGGTTTTTCATTCAAAGGATTTGGGCATGGAAACTACCAGCGGCTACATATTCAGCTTCAGCGGTTGATGTGGACACTGAGTTTTGCTTTTTACTTGTCCAGCTCACCAACTTTCCACCTAAAAGTTGACTGCCTCCAGTGGTGCTTTTCTTATCAATTTTGCAACCTGCAAAATCACTATCTAAATAACCTATTAGGTCAAAACCTGAACCCTTAGGGTACCAAAGACCCAAGTTAGGAGTTCCCTTTAGATATCTGAAGATGCGTTTTACAGCAATCAGATGGGATTCCTTAGGTTCAGATTGATATCGTGCACACAAGCAAGTAGAATACATGATATCTGGTCGACTAGCTGTGAGATACAGTAGAGAGCCGATCATTCCTCTAAAAACCGTTACGTTTGCAGGCTTTCTATTTGGATCCTTGTTGAGAGAGAGTGGAGGAGCCATTGGAGTCTTCATAGATGAACTGTTTGCTAAATCAAAATTCTTCAGCATGTCACGAACATACTTACTTTGACTGATAAATATACCTTTATCTTATTGTTTTATCTGGAGACCTAAAAAGAAGTTTAGTTCTCCCATCATGCTCATCTGTTTTTTTTTTCTTCATGCGATCAGCGAATCGTAAACATAAAAAGGTATTAGTAGAACCAAAAATAATATCATCGACATAAATTTAGACTAGAATAATGTGACCTTTAACTTTCCTAAGAAATAAGGTTTGGTCAATTTTTCCACGTACAAACTTCTCAGAGATGAGAAATGTGGAAAGAGTATTATACTAGGCACGAGGAGCCTGTTTTAACCCATAAAGAGCCTTATCCAAACGATAGACATGGTTTGGATACTTAGGGTCAAGAAACCCTGGAGGTTGTTCAATATAAACTTTCTCTTCAAGTTTTTCATTTAGGAAACCGCTCTTTACATCCATTTGGTAAACTTTAAAGACTCTATGGGCAGCAAAGGCTAGGAAGAGTCGAATTGCTTCGAGTCAAGTCACTGGTGCGAAGGTTTCATCATAGTCGATCCCTTCTTCTTGTCTATAACCCTTAGCAACAAGTCGAGCCTGGTTAGCTTACTCTAAATTATATTTGTATTAATTTACACACATAATAAATTTCAGTTTTATGTTTTAAATTTGTTTAAACATGTGTTCTAACTCTTTTTTTAGTTAAAGTGATAAGTAATTTGAAATTATTTATGTACGAAATATTGTTGTGATTATAATTGTATAATATTATGATGTATAAAGTTATAGTAAGAAAAACATTGTGGATCGAATTTATAAACAAGAATCGTGTGAGAAACATAGTTAAAAGAAAAGCATGAGAAAGGATTTGGATCCTTAATCACCTTTAAACTCAAACTCACCCATGAATCGTGCTTGATACGAGGATTAATTCAGTGCATCTCATCCTAATGTACATCCAACGGTAAAGATCTCTTCTTACGCTTCACACCTTAACTTTTTTTCTCATCGGAACCCAACCCCGAATCAGGTTGAGTTCCAGTGAGAAAGAAAGTTATGATGAGAAACATATGAAAAAATCTTCATCCTTAGATCAATCCTAATTAAATGTTGACACTAATGAGATACACCAAGATACACTAAATCAGTTCCTTTCTAGAACGCAACTCAATGATGAGCATGAGATTAAAAAGGATCAAGGATTCATATCTCTTCTCGCACTTTTCATCATAACATCTCTTCTCACACAATCTTTCACCTGGAAAAAAAAGGATAGCTTCGTCCATGAATATAGTTGAGTCCTTAATTTTAGAGTAAATTGCATTTTTCATCCCTATGTTTCTTAAACATTACGAACTTTGATCCTATGATTTTGAAATTATGGTTTTTTTTTTATTAACCTGAATATCTAACCCGCTATAATCCTAAAAGAAATTATGGTTTTCGTTTTTATGGTTTATAATTCATTTTTTTTTTTTTTTGTCCCTATGGCAAATTTCCTACCTTCAAGTATGAAGGACAAAAACAACGATAAGATGTAAACAATAGGGACAAAAACAACAATAAGATGTAGACAATAGGGACAAAAACAATAATTTCAATAACAAGGCATCCATAAAGATTGGAACAACCCTAACAGATACATTCAACTTTAGATAATTGTGGAGGTCTAAACCAACTTGCAAGCACATCAACTAATTTTAGCGAGCCCGAAGAGACTTGAACCCAAAGGAAGAACTATAAATTTGTTCAAGTGATGCCACCAGTTGACTATAAGAAACGAAAATACGAATATTTTTCACAAATTCATCGTCAATTGGTTAGTTCCTTGATTTTCATATGCAAGGTCCTATGTTCAAGTCTTTTATCACAAATACTTTTCAAAAAACATAATAAATCTGAAATTAAAAGTTAAAAACCAAGTAAACGAGACTAATAGGATTCAAGCATGCACCTGGAATGGGAGAAAAGTCATGCAACCCTACTCTACCATCAGAAATTTATGTTATCATTGTAGTTTCAAAATATATACGATTGCACACATCAAAATAATAAGGTGGCACCTTTCACGACCCTAAAATCTTTTACACTATAACAGAGCGATCGCCCGTGCCACCATATTCACCGGTGTGGGTTGGATCCGTCCCAACTTGAACCGGTGAGCCATAGAATGGAGAGCAAACACAAGCCGGAAAACTTTCCACTATGTATCATATCAAATACACGAGCCTCGACTCACAGCAACACCAAAATCTTTGTAAACTTAATCATACCATCATCATTCTCACTGGAGAGAGTTGTAGAAAAGAATCAACACGACCGATACACCAATTATCACCGGAAATGCCGTCACCAAGTATAGCGCTCCGTATCCCTGCATCAAACAAACATAAAAGTATCGTATAACGTATAGCAGTGTTACTGAAGATGGCTAAATAAACGGAAAATGCAAAATGAAGATGCATCATAGGTTGGTACCACGGCCGAAGGGACTTCATTTTGGTCATCAGTATCATCTTCCTCAATCTCTGCGGCTGAATCCCAGTCAATGTTAAGCCTCTTCGCAGCCACTACAGGATCGATACCCGTGTCTGTAGCTTTCGCATATAACGATTTGCGTGGCCCCTTTTTGGTTGCTTCAACCTTTTTCACAATAGAATATATGAAGATGTAATCATATGGATGTCATTACTTGAATGAGTAGAAACAAGGCCAAACTCCATGAAAGCATTCCTACGTTGGGTCATTTTGATCTGATTCTTATTTTGGGTAATATATTTTTTTCTAAATTTTTGAGATATGACATTGAGGTACCAAAATGATAGTTATTGAAGTATGGTACCCGAAATAGAAATCGGACCAAGATACATTGCATTAATATATCTTAAAAACCAATTCCAATAAGACCAAATGAATCATTGGCATTTATAAGTTATGAAAAATAATTCAGTGTTGTATAAATCGTGAATTGGAAGTTTTCACATCGCCACGAACACATGAATTAAGTTGGCTTCAATCGCTATCAACATTAAGCATATGATAAATCTACCTCTAAATTAGGCCATTGAACCATTTCCTCTGCCAGCATCTGAAGAGCAGCACGGTCTCGTGGAATTTTCCCTTCGTTCACCTACACACATATTCATAAAAAAATGAAATATATTATATAAAGACAAGGGAAGACCGCTCATTTTATTATTCAAATTTCTACTAATACAAATTTAACACTAATACTAATATTGATTATGATTACCATTATTATTAGATCACATGAAAGCAAGCCTGATATCATACACCAGAAGTTGAAGTTTATAAAGACAGTAAACCAAACGAACCCAATATATCTCATCTGGAGGTGGGCTTTGCCTGCAATGTTTTTATATAAGTCGTATATTAATGTATAACTTTTAATCATCTTTTCATTTTTATCGAGCAAAGAAATATTTTATTAGCATAATGGAATTTGGTGGAATTGGAATCCCATCAAAAGAATTTGACTTTGAAAGAATTGAAATGGAATTGGGTAAGAATTGGAATCTCCATCTTTGTTTCGGGGTGGTAGCAGTGTCGACGGCAATAGTGGCATGGTGGTGGGAGTGGGTGGTAGCGGGGGGTGGTGGGTTGGTGGCTGCGACAATGACAGTAATGGCACGGTGGTCAGTGGGTGGGTGGCAGGGTTGTAATTGTGACGACGACAGTAGTTTCATGGTGGTCAGGTAGTGGCA